GTGACATTTGTTCAATCATGTTCATTGCTCAACAGTGCTCTATTCATAATAGCCAGAAATTGAAAACAACCTAAATGTCCCATAACAGAAGAATGGATAAAGTAAATGTGATAAATTTACACAGTGGAGTATTACTCAGTCCTTTAAAAAAAGTGGCATTATGAATTTTATAGGCAGATGAATAGAACTAGAAAAAACCTACTAGTGAGGTATCCCAGACTCAGAAATACAAATGTATGTATTTGCTTATATGGTGATATTAGCTGTGAAGTCAATAATAACAGAGTTATAATTCCTAGAACCATGAAGGTAAATGTAGAGTATGGAACTAGAGGGAACAGACATATATCTCAGGAAGAGGAAATAGAATCAACATATATGGAAGCAAGATAGAGGGGCAGAGTGTGTGGATTAAGTGCAGAGAGGAAAGGGAGAGAGGTTTGTGGGAGGGGATATGGGAAAGACAGTTAAAATTAAGGCATATTTGAGAAGTAGTATGGAAATCTAATACAGTAGAAACTTTCAAAGTATAAGCATATATGAAGGTGATCTAAATGAAATAGCCAAATAATGTGGGAAACAGATTCCCAACTGTCCATCTTGTATCACCAAATGAAGAGTGCAGTACCAGGACTGGGTTTCATCTAATTGATTTGTTGGCCAAAGGGGCCCCAGGAGAATCCCCAAACAACCCAGACTGTTGCCAAGACAATAGGTTGCTCTCAACAAACTGACAGCAAGGCCCATTGTAGTTCCTTGGTACCGGAAGGTACTCTGCAAGCTATCAAAAGAAAAGTGTAAACACGAAACAAGAAACAAACACTTTCCACTATAGTGTACTACCTGTAAGATATGCTAGGATAAGGATGGCACAAAGCTTATTGTAGTAACGAACCAATACCATCCTCATGATGGAACCCAAACACAACACTATTTGAGTAATGAACAATATGAGACTAGATATCCCAGGGATCTATGGTAAAAACCACATAATATTGGTCCAAAAAAGAAAAAGAAAATGTAGTGATAAAATGACTGCTAATGATATTCTGCTATACTCAGATCAGTTCAACTATCATCAGAAAAGCTTCCTCCTATAGCACATAGGAACAAATGTAGAAACCCACAGCCAGACATTACACAAAGAGTGAGAGACCTTGGAACACTCAGTCCTAAATGGAATGTCTCCATCAAATCCCTTCCCTGAGATCTCAGGGAAACCCACAGAAGAGGTGGCAGAGTTTAAGAGCCTGAGGGTACAGAGACACCAAGAAAACAAGGCCCTGCAGATCAACATGACCAAAGTTCATATAAACTCAGAGAGCCTAAAATAGGATGCACTGGACCAGCACAGGTCTGCACCAAGTCTTCTGTGTATACATTATGGTTTCCAGTTCAGTGTTTTAATGGGTTTCCAAAATGTGTAATATGAATAGGTCTCTGATTCTTGTGTCTTCTCTTGGGCATCTTTCCTTCTGTTGGTTTGTCTTGTCCAATTTCAACATGATAGTTTTTGTTATATCTTGCTGGCCTCATGTTCAGGAGTAGTTGGCCAAAATATAATGGGATTCAGCATTTGTGTGTGTGTGTGTGTGTGTGTGTGTGTGTGTGTGTGTGTGTGTGTGTGCGCACGCATGCGGTTTTTACTGGTTACAGTTTGTTGTTTTGCTTTCATTCTTTTTTTCTTTTGGGGTGGTATTTTACTGTCTTGGTTTTGCTTTTATATTTATTTGAGGTTTTTTTTATGAGAAAATAAGGATGGGAACAGAATCTTAAAGGACTTTGGGGAGCAAAGAATATGATCAAAACATTAAAATTAAAAAAAGGAAAAGGAAAGAAAAGAGAAAGAATGGGGAATGCCTGGCACAAAGCAAGCACTCAATAAATACTGGCTTTATTATCACTGTTACTGCCTTTTTCTACCATACCTAAGATGTCTTTTAACTCTAAAGTTGAGCAAGAAGATCTGCCTCTATAAAATGTGTTATTTAGAAATATGAGGTTTCAGACAATTTCATCTGTTTCTAATACCTCTGTCTAATGTTGATACTCTAAAGTTGGAGAGATTATCTCCTTCTGGCTGTATGTCTTAAATCATCTAATTATTCCTGTAGCACTTTCTTAGTGAAGTGGGCTTTTAAAAATAAACAATCATTTGAAGAAATGTATGATTTATTTGCCTAGCAATTCAATTTTTAGAAATCTATCCCATAAGATATGCTGTTTAATTAAGGAATGATGGTGACAGTGGAAAGAGCTGGCAGTAAAGATCTGTTAGTAAAGACATCATCATTTAAACTACTGTACAGTCATGCAATTGAATGTTTTCCAGCTATTTACAAAAAACAAGTTATATTTCTGTGTGTGTTGCCAGGAATTATTTTAAAGATACCTTAACAAACAGGTAAATTTCAGCTTATATTTAGTATAAACTCAATCACTTAAAATTAAAATACATCTGCATAGAAATGAGAGAAATATATACAGACATTTGTATATCAAACTATGAATGCTAGTTTATTTGAGGGGAAGAGAAAATAGGAATGAAGACAACAAGTAATTTTTAACTTTCTACATTTCTATATTAATTCTCTATATTAAGCCTGTTTTTATGCACTTGCTGTATAATTTAAAAGAAAACATTTTGAAAGAAAGAAAATTAGCTATAGTGATAAGTCAATGCCTCTGTGGATAGAAACTGTGTAATGTGTTTTGAGAGCACATTCTAAAAATTCCCAAATAATGCTGCAACAGAAAAGGTAAAATTAGTATGAGAATAGTCAAATGAATATTCTCTGTCCTTTGGTATATGTAAACTGACATATAAAAGAATTTGAGAGGGTTGGAGAGATGGCTCAGCAGTTAAGAACACTTGTGCTCTTGCAGGTAATCCATGTTTCATTTCCAGTATCCACATTAGGTGGTTAAAACCCACCTGTACCTCCAATTCCAGAGAATACAACTCCTTGTAGTCTCTAAAGGCAGTTGCGTGCATATGGTGCAAATACAGATAAGCAGACACACACACACACACACACACACACACACACACACACACACACACACACATTTAAAAACAGAAAATTGACACATTGTATAGTATAAAAATATCTCAAAAGATGCTACAGGTATGTTGTTGTTGTTCAGCTCTTTGGGAGTGAAAGAACGATTCTGGTTAACATAATCTAGTTTGAATTTTTATGAATTAATACATCCTCTAGAAAAACAAGAGCTGGACATGGATTATTTGAGCATTTTCGCAAGCTGGGTTGGAGGTTTTTCAAGCCATTATGCCAGTCTCCCTTTCTCCACATTTCTTTTCCTCTCTCCCTGTGTTTCTCTTTCCTTGAGTAGAAGTCAGCTCCAAGAACTCAGCACCTTCTAAGAAAAAAGGAAGTGAGCCTTTGATAAGTGCCAGAAACATTATCCCATGGACTGGCATCTTAGATTGAATAAAAAGGGAAACAATTAGAAACTGAGCTGAGCACCAGAATTCATCTCTCTCTGTTTCCTAACTACAGATGCAATGTAACCAGGCACCTCATGCTCCAGCTGCCATGATGAACTGAACCCACAAACTGAGCTAAAATAAACTTTGCTCTCCTTGGCCTGGTTTTGTTTGGTATTTAATTAGAGAAACAATGAAAGTAGTTAATATGGTGTTGTGATCATATTTTTGTCTTGCAAACCAAAGTATATCAAATGGAAGGGCAATGGAGAAGGGAGAATGCTGTGGGATGGTCTGTATGTCAAATGTGTTGCTGATTGGTCAATGAATAAATCACTGATTGGCCCGTGGCCAGGCAGGAAGTATAGGCGGGACAAGGAGGAGAAAAAACTGGGAAGTGGAAGGCTGAGTCGGAGAGACACTGCCAGCCGCCATCAGGACAAGGAAGATGTAAAGTACCGGTAAGGCACAAGCCACGTGGCAAGGTATAGATTAATAGAAATGGATTAATTTAAGCTGTAAGAACAGTTAGCAAGAAGCCTGCCACAGCCATACAGTTTGTAACCAATATAAGTCTCTGTGTTTACTTGATCGGGTTTGAGCGGCTTGGGACTGGCGGGTAAGAGAGATTTGTCCTGACTGTGGGCCAGGCAGGAAAACTCTAGTTACAGGAGAAAACAAAGAGACTACTGAGGGGGCACTCTGTTGGGCCAGGATAGATTACAGAAATGTGGCATACAGGGAGAAAGACATATGTGCAGCTGTGCCCCGTGTTCCAGAACAGCATTTACCAGCTCATGCCAGTCCTGTGGTATAATCTTCTTATAAGTTGACCAGGAGTTTAACATTTGCTTTACAAATGGGGAAGGCATGCCATAAGATACTATTGCCTTAAACCTTTGTCAATCTAACATTTCAATTGAAGCAATTACAGTCTGATAAATGTCTGTCTCTCTAAACCATGAATGTTCTTCCCTAGAAGAGAATACCTTCACAGCAATTTCTTCTCACTATTTGTCTTGCCAAACTTTTCCAAACTGACCTCTGTCGATGCTTTCTTATAACACAATGGTCCTGGTAATTCTCTGAACAAGCAGTAGTAAACCCTTTGTCCCAGGTAGCAGCATCACCACAGTCACCAACATGATGAGAAGGAGCCAGCAACTCGGAGCAGCAGTCCCAGTGCCACCCTTTGTGGCTAGGCCCAGCCACAGCCTCTCCTTAGCAAGCTTCCCAGGCTGGCCTCAAACTTGGGATCCTCTTGCCTCTGCCTCCTTTAGCAAATCCTTTGGCATGTGCCACCACAACTGGTGGAGTGTAGCTCAGACCTGAGTTGGGTCCCACAAGGCCACAGGAAAGTAGCTTTTTCTCGAATTTGTACCACGGACGTTGGGTGCCAGATGTAGCATGAATCTTAAAGAGTCTTATTAATAAAAACAAACCTGGGGCCAGGTATTGGGGTGAATGCTGGAAGATGAGAGAAGCAGAACAAGCCACAGCTACCTCTTCCTCACCAGTTCCGCAGCTGATCCTGTTTCCTCAGACTGGAAGCCTCTGTGTCCTCATCTCAATGGGTCTCAGCTGAACTGTTGCTCAAAAGCCTAAAAGCTTAACCAGCTGAACTGCTGCTAAAAGTCTAAAAGCTTAAACAGCACTAGGTCCTGGTCCTCACACCTTATATACCTTTCTGCCTTCTGCCATCACTTCCTGGAATTAAAGGCGTGTGTCACCCAGCCTGGCTGTTTCCAATGTGGCCTTGAACTCACAGAGATCCAGACAGATTTCTGCCTCTGGAATGCTAGGATTAAAGGCATGTGTGCCACCATTTTCTGGCATCTATATCTAGAGGCTGTTTTGTTCTCTGACCCCAGATAAGTTTATTAGGGTGCACAATATTTTGGGGGACACAATATATCACCACACATATGAGAAAAAACAAAACATTATTGAAGGTGGTATAGACTTGAACTATTCAGAGTGGATGAAGGGCAGAAGGATTCACTCATTGGACAAACATAGGCTTGCTGAGTATTCTGTGTGTTTGATGAGACATCAATGTTCCTAGATAACTACCATTTCCTTTCATGAAAATGACATTAAATGTGGAAAGATATCATGGAATATGCTTCATATGACTTCATAAAGAAAATATCTTAACGTTCAAAGTTTAAAAAATAGCTTCTATAAGAGTACACACACACACACACACACACACCCCTTCACACTTTTGCAGCAGGATCCTATGATGAAGCTCAAAGTTGCCTTGTTCTCAAAATCCTCTTGTCTCAGTAACTTCTAACCCTGAGTGTTCAGTTCAGCACTATTCCAGGCAAGAATGCTTTGACACAATTAGGATAAAATTATTGAGTCATCTTACAGTCAAACAAGCCATTATGACTAATTTCTAGCCCAATTTTAAGGTGTAAAAGGAAAGTGCTCACTTGGATTTCCTATTCAATAATGAGCACAATACCCACATTTGCACAAAAAGTGCTCACATAGATGAATTCAACACATGGCAATATTTTATTGCTCTTTCCCCTTTCCCTGTGTTTTTACTTAATCCTCTTATTTGTTTACTAAAACTTCAAAAATATAAATATGTTCAAGTGGAGTATAACAGCCTCATCAATGTTCAGGAAACAGACTCTATGGTAGATTATCTTCTTTCTTTGTGAAGTGAAAAAACTCAGACACATCTGCAGGGTAACAAAGGTACACATTACAAATTCTATACTTGTCTAGACATAATCAAACCCATTTCACAGTTGATGTTAAATGCTTCTAATTAAAGTAATTTAAAAAATTTATAAAAATTCAAGAGCAAAATGTTAACATTTAAAATCAAAATTCTTGTTCTCACCAGGCTCCACATGAGTCTCCATAGTAACCAGAACACTTACCGGCCTAATGCTATGTGCTAATTGATCATTTTCTTGTATATAAAATAAAATAATATCTATAAGTATATAAAATTTATATATGTGAGATGAAAAGTGAAACACTAGCCAGAAGTAGGTCTTTCTTCAGTCTTGTTCCCCAAGTGTTCTGAAAAGTCAAACTCTAGCCAGGAAGTAGGTCTTCTTCAAGCTTGTTCCCCAAGTATTCTTTCTTCTCAGTTCTAGAACAGAACCATGAAAAGATAGCTACTTACTATGAATGTAGAGAAAGTGTTTACAAATCACCAGTTATACAAAAGACTAAGTATTTCATACCAATAAAGATCATTTTATAAGTAACAGTCATCATGTAGTGATTTCTTAGGATAATCAATGATACAACATTAAAACAATTCAGCAAAGGATTTTACTGGAAAATAAGATGATAGAGTTAAAGCATAGAGTTTTCTGGACAACTAACTTTCCAAAAGACAGAGCACAACTTTAACAAATGAATCATGTACCTATTATTTCATATTTCTTATGTGTTGTAACCATATAAAAATTTCTATACGTGCTTGACAAATCTGTATGTGTAAGATCTCTTAACTTTCTCTCCATATGTATGTATGAATTCATTTCTTCTTTCTAAGACTTTTGTTGCATTGTGTTTAACACATAATTATATTTATCACATGCATAAATATATTTATCACATGATCATTACTAAGTTGGCCTTTCATATTATTAACTCCCTGGAGATAAAAATGACTTTCATTATTAGAATCCCAGTGTCTAAAATAGCCCTTTGCAAAAATTGCTCAGAAAATACCATTTTGTTGGATAGATGGGTGGGGAAGTAAAAGCAATATATTAGATTCTATTTCTTCTAGCAAAATAACTTATAGAATATGATGGGTTCAATACTATAGTCTATTATTAGGCTTTAAAGCTCACATTCTTGATAGATCACTAAAGAAACTATAATGACCAATCAATTTTGTTCTCTGATGTTTTGAAAGATATAAAATAATACATTTATAATAAAGGAAATATAATCTTGCAATATAAGGAACTTGTGAAGTTAGCCTTAACATCATAGATAATACATCATATGAAAATACAATCTCTACTGCTGCTACAAGGAACCCTACTTTCTGTTATAAAGAGGTTTTCTTTGATAGATTCTGATGTTGGTATATTAGGAATTTTGCAGTAGTGCCCTAGCTAAATGAATTGGTGATGAAAAGAAAAGTTTTATAAATATAGCAGAAATTGTGTCTAAGTTCAAGTATACTATTTTAAGTCACTTTGTTGCTTTCCATTACATAGTTTAGGAAAGATATTGAATGTTTAGGCAAGTACTGCTTCAACTTTATCCCAATGATCTAAAAGATGTCACCAAAGACTATCACTTCATTAGCCAAGAACTCATTTATACACATGTGCTAGGACATATTCATCTTTATGGACAGTTTATCTTGTGTCTTTTGAGGAAAAAAGAACAAATATGGAGGAGACCTACTTGATAGGTTTTATGTACTTCAATATCTCCTCATATAACTCAATTAATTTTGATTGTCCACAGCTTTAGAATATCCCACTGGACTCAAGCTTTTTGAAGAAGATTGTATCTTATTTATTTTCTTCTCCTGAATGATAAACATATCCTACCATTAGATACTTTTTAAGTGAACAAATGTCTGTCAGATACATACCTTCATAAAAGAGAAATAGGTCAACTTTGACCCTTTTTTAAGATAATAAACATATGCAACTCTTGGCCTTCTACTTGAAGACTAAATTAATTATCATCTAATTGTGTTTTCTTTCTAATAAATCAATTTTTACCCTCTTCATTTAATACAATGTATGGTATCCATAATCAATTATGAGAAAATTCAAATTTGTCCATCTTCTCTTGATCAAAATGATAAAATGAAGAAACTTCATTACAGATAATATCTATTTGAAAAATAACTGATTACTTTGTAATTTCCAGATTTGAGTAATATAAAATTTATACTCATAAAAGTCTGCCTAATTGTTATATTGTAGTGACTTTAGAACCCAAATAAAGATTCAAGTCCAGAGGCATAAATATGACCTTGAAACTGTAACCATTAAAAATGAACACAAAATGGAAGTGCTTGATGACCTGCTGTAAAGGTTAAAACCTTCCTTTTTAAAAAAAGAAAATGGGAAGTGCTGTGGAATGGTCTGTATGTCAAATGTGTTGCTGATTGGTCAATAAATAAATCACTGACTGGCCAGTGGCTAGGCAGGAAGTATAGGTGGGACAAGGAGGAGAATAAAGCTGGGAAGTAGAAGGCTGAGTCAGAGAGACACTGCCAGCCGCCACGATGACAAGCAGCATGTGAAGACGCCAGTAAGCCATGAGCCGCGTGGCAGGGTATAGATTTGTGGAAATGGATTAATTTAAGCTGTAAGAACAGTTAGCAAGTAGCCTGCCACAGCCATACAGTTTGTAAGCAATATAAGTCTCTTTGTTTACTTGGTTGGGTCTGAGCAGCTGTGGGACTGGCCGGTGAGAGAGATTTGTCCTGACTGTGGGCCAGGCAGGAAAACTCTAGCTACAAATGGCGTCCAATGTGGTGGCAAGAGTTTCCACCTAAAAACTGAGAAAAAAAGATTCTAAAACGGAGATAAAAACAGCTTCCTAATTGTCTCTCTCAAATGAGCGGCAGCTGCTGGTTTGATCTACAGGTGGGTTCCTAGTGCTCAACCTGCCATACGGTGGGAATGAGGCCTCTGCAAGTGGCACATTGAGCTGTATGGTGGATTTGGTCTTTGCTAGTACAAAGCAGAAGAGGTTTCTGGGCTGCATGCTGCTTGGATGAAAGCATAGAGACCCACTATGGCTCCCAGAGCTGTTGGAAGGCGTGCCACCACCATGTTGGGAAGCTGACGTGGGCAGAGCCAGCAGCCACAGCTGCTGCAGTTTAAAGCAATAGGTTCACAATAAGACAGATTCAGATGTAATAGTTTACAATGTGTGTAAAATATATGTAGGCTTGAAAGAGACAAAAAAAGGTGATATATACAGTTTTATAAACACATAGTTTTGAAAAATAAAGTCTTTAAAGAGACAGTAAAATTAATATAAAAAATAAGCCACGTAAAGATGAATATTACACAGAGAATCTGGATTGTGTTGTCTTTGGAATTTTTAACTGCAGAAAAACATTTGATTGTAAAAGCTGTTGAGTTATGCCAATATGTATATTTTAAAGATACCTTGACTTCAAAATTTGGATGTAAGGATGTGTTGCTTTGGAAAGAGACTCTGCTTTTGTTCCCACAGAAAGCCAGAGGCTATGGACTTATTCCAGATTAAGATACATCAGGTTTGACCAGCCAAGATCCCCTGAAAGGTCTCCAATGACACCATGGCCCAGATGATCCAACATCCAGACGGTTTGAAGGCAACTGGCTCAGACAATACAGCCTCATGGACTATTCCATAATCCTAAAATTTTCTTTGTGTCCCCATAAGATACAGCATCCCCCTCCAGCAGGAAGTAGTAAGAGAAGCTATGCCCAAATTCCCAAATATACCAACCTGACTTTGGAGATGTGTAAAGGTTAAAACCTTCCTTTTTAAAAAAAGAAAAGTGGAAGTACTGTGGGATGTTCTGTATGTCAAATATGTTGCTGATTGGTCAATAAATAAATCACTGATTGGCCAGTGGCTAGGCAGGAAGTATAGGCGGGACAAGGAGGAGAATAAAGCTGGGAAGTAGAAGGCTGAGTTAGAGAGACACTGCCAGCCGCCATGATAATAAGCAGCATGTGAAGACGCTGGTAAGCCATGAGCCACGTGGCAGGGTATAGATTTGTGGAAATGGATTAATTTAAGCTGTAAGAACAGTTAGCAAGAAGCCTTCCACAGCCATACAGTTTGTAAGCAATATAAGTCTCTGTGTTTACTTGGTTGGGTCTGAGCAACTGTGGGACTGGTAGGTGAGAGAGATTTGTCCTGACTGTGGGCCAGGCAGGAAAACTCTAGCTACAACCTGCAGAGACTGTGTGTTTCATGGGTTCTTGTTGTGTGGTATTTTGTTTGTGTTCTGACAAATAAAGCTTGCCTGGAGATTAACTGGAGAGCAGAGAGCAGAGCCAGCCACTAGTTATCCATAGAGGCCAGGGGGTGGTAGCACACACCTTTAATTCCAATACTTGGGAGGAGAAAGCAGGAAGATCAGGAATGCTAGGCCTCCCTGGGCTACATTTGAACCAATCTAAAAGAGAAACAGAGCTGAGTGGTGGTGATGCACACCTTTAATCCCAGCACTATGAAGATGGAAACAGGAATATAAGGCAGGTAGAGACAGGATCTCAACTCCATTTAGTCTGAGATTTCATAGAGGTAAGAAGTCTCTAGTGGCTGCTGCTCCACTTCTCTGATATCCAGGCAAGCTTTATTTGTCAGAACACAAACAAAATACCACACAACAGGTTCTGGTTTATCTCTTCATATAGATGATATTTCTTGAGCAGTTGATGTTCTATAGCCCACTAAAGAAAACTGGCATGAGAATGGCCAGATAGATCTTTGGAATACATTCTTCAGTACTTGAGACATAGCCTTGTTGGCCATGGCACAAGTCAAAACTTGTGTGTGTGTGTGTGTGCGTGTGTGTGTGTGTGTGTGTGTGTGTGTGTGTGTGTGTGTGTGTATGTATGTATGTGTGTGTGTTCTGGGAGTCGAACTCAGGGCCTTGCCCAGAATATATCCACTAAGATAAACCCCAGCTATCACAAAAACTTTTGATAAACAATGAGAGATTGACATCTTCGTCTGCTTTGACTTCTATTGACTCTTTGTCTATACTTAATCTGGTATATAGCTTATCAGTTCAGTAATTGATTCTAATACACTTTCTGGCCTGAAGGACATATCCTTATGTCCTACTAAGGAAAAGTTACTTTCATCTTGACAGATATTTTATTCTGGCCATATTAGATTCTGTGGAACACTGTTCTTTGGGCATGGCATGACCATTCTCATCTTTAAATCAGAATATCTGCATTTTCTCACATGAGACCTTCAAAAAATTGAGCCTAGTTGCATTTCTTCATGGAGGTGAGAAAGGGTCTGTTACCTATATACATGGGTTACCAGGAAACCCAGGAGACTATCATGCCTACCCAATAAGGGTTTAATAAGACCCAGGTCCTCTCTGAGAACATATAAATTATTAACAATTTCTGGCAGGAA